ATTCTTCCAATACCTATGCGACACGAGCCGCCTCTCAAGTACATCTGTTAACAATTAACAACGACCTCCATCCGATGTCCAATTTTTTTTTATATGTTAGGACATTAACACACAACCACCCATACCATCTAGTTCCATGGTAAGCTACGAGGCCTGTGTTATGGATACCAGATAGTTGATACACTTTAAATACATACATATTATAAATCAGACATACATTAGGCGGATATTCCTATATCATATTATTTCCATGTTTTTCGCTTTTACGGGTTTGTTTGTTTTTGTAATTTTATTTTTATTTAAGTATGTATATAAAAAATTACAGATATATTTCCTTAGGCTATTTAAAATTATTAGTAGGTATGTTTTATAAGGTCTTACTCACTTCTTAGTAATGTTAAATTAGTCAAAAAATTCAACGACACGGTCTAACTTTATCATGATATGAAAGCTTAGACCATATAGATGGTACCTATACCAGATACCTATACCAGATGGAATAAAACATGTAATAATAAGAAACCAGAGGAATAAGCTAACTCAAATAAAAATTACTACATTAATTAGTCATCGTTACTCATTAAAATAAAATTATTGTGGAAAAGATCATAATTTGCTCTGTAATTTTGCCAAAGTAAATAAGAAGGCCTTTACGTAAAGCTTGCATTCAAATTTTAGTATCAAATGGAGAACCGTATTCTTCGTGATGAAACATTCACTATTAAAAATGGGGGCTATTATGTAACTCTATACAACGCAAGCAAGATTCTAAAGATTTTTCCTGCCGCTTCCTTTTATTGTAAGAAGACTACTGAATTTTCAATTTTAAACGACGTTCGTTCGAACACTGTTCGAAAAATATATTAAGACGAACAGAAACAACGTTTAAGAAAACGAAATAAAGGTAGTTGTATTGTTGAATTTACGAGATTTCTTTCAATTTTATATAATTGCGAAGTAAATTAATTAATCACATGACAAATAAGGCCTTGATATTATTGTATTTTTCTTTAATTACTAAATTAATTACTTATCACCTTAAGCTATAGTCTTAAATTACATAAGACGGTTCTGTGAAAGGTTAGACGTACGCGACACCGGGTATCCTAGTGCTTGCGTCTCAGCACTCTATTACCTATGTTTTGTTATACAATAATTGTTATTTAAGGAGTATATTTGTATCCAATTTATTATTACGAATTAGGTAAATAAAATAATTATTGATAAAATCATAACGCCCAAGGCAAACCAAACCTTTTGATAAAAACCTTAATTAGAGTTAGAGCTCTGCTATATATATTTTCTATCTTTCCCTACAGACTATAGAGATATATTAAACGATTTGTAAATACATATACCTACCTATTGTTTTCAAGCTACATTCACGATTCACTTACATAATATGTACTTGTTAACTGCCTCGGTGGTGTAGTGGTTAGCAAGTACGGCTGCACACCCGGAGGTCCTGGGTTCCAGTCCCGGGTCGGGCCAAGTTTAGTTATTGAGTCTTTCTGTATAGTAAGCCTCAGTAACAGCCCGGAGTTGGGAAGTTGGCGGTGTTTCACCCCCGTGCCTCGGAGAGCACGTAAATCCGTCGGTCCTGCGCTTTAACTCTCACCGTATCGTCCTATCGGTCTTTGAGATTACAGAAAATAGATATTCAACGACCGCGGGCACACCGGTGTTACTGTAAATAATTAACTTCTTAGAAATTTAATTATTTTCTTAGAAATTTAATAAATTTCTTAGAAATTTATCTGGACGAGGCAAATCTGCGCGAACAATTCGGTCCTGCGCCTTAACTCTCACTAGTCGTGTCGAGTGGTCGTCGCACCAGAATATGAGAGTGACAGGAATAGAGAGTGCACCTGTGTCTGCGCGTACACTTGTGCACTATAATATCTCCTGCGAGTTGGCTAGTCTCAATGAGATTGGCCGCCGTGGCCGGATTCGGTCGGGAGAACGTCATCATGTACTTGTTAAATTATTAAATTATAACGGACAGTATTTATTGTAATGAAGAATTTCATCATATTATTTCCAAGTATGTATAAAATCTACACCGATTTAAAATATTTCTTGTTGAGTATACAAAAAATTCATTAAGTGGGAACTTTGCCAATTTTGTGTGTGCAGAGGCCCTTCATGTTTATTCATTGCCTTTTAAAATCACACACGACTCGTAATTTATACACATTGTCTTTAAAAGCCAGCTTTTAGAAATGCCCTGAATCAATGAACTGGAAAACAGCCTATTAAACTTTCTTTGTGAAAGTATTTACTTAATTAAAGATTCTATACACTATAATTTATGTACGAAACGCCTACAGTGTTTTAATGTTTATAAAAAAAGAGAATTTTATATTAAATAACAATTTAGTTTTTTTTTCTTGAGAAGTTCGGTGAAAGACGTTTGCAGTTTGTCCTTGTGTCAAATTGCAAATAGTTTTACAACGCCCAAGAAAATTACTACGACTTCGTTCTTACTTTATCTTGTTTCCTTATTTTTATTTCACTTTTTACGCAGATTATATTATTGTTTGTTTTTGTACTTTATTTTTTAAAGTATATTTCTAAAAGTTTGCGTTTCGCTTTTCCTGTAAAAGTAATTTATCTCTTTTGTTTTTAAGAGAAACCAACTTAGTGTAATATATATAATCCAAGTGCCTATTGGGTTGATAATAAGGGAAAAAAATATTTTAAAACTAGTACAGCTTCCGTTGACTCTATCCGTTTTACTCACCCCGTAATGCTCTTGAGCAAATCTAAGTGTCAAAACGTCACATGAGTAAACCACCGATCACATACTGGCACTCGTACCTTATTATAGTAAAGATTTTCACACCTTCTGATTCCACTATTTGAATGGATAAAACAACTCTAAGTAGTTTAATCGACTTTTAAGATTTGTTTCTAACTTAGTTTCAATATACATGTTCATTTTTAGTTTCAATATACAACATAATCTATACTAATACATATTATAAAGAGGCAGATTTTATTTGTTTGAACGCGCTTATCTCAGGAACTACTAATCCGATTTGAAAAATTCTTTTTGCATTATATAGCTCGTTTATTGAGGAAGGCTATATGCTATATATCATCATGCTACTACCCAAGGGAGCGGAGCAGTAATGTAATATGTACATAGTCTATCTATTCCCTACTAACCATTAAAACGTACCTAGGGCCGAACCCGAGCGAAGCAAGGGTGAGCTGCTAGTGAAAGATAAAATACGATGGTTCTCGCTTTTGCTTATAACTTCACAATAAATAAACATCATGCCACCACCTTTATATGGCAGAAAAACTACTATGTTGATTAAAAAGAAACCTAGATGTGTTTTTAATTTAAAAGAAAGTTACTCAGAGATGCGCTATATAAGTCTTCTGTTTAAAAATTTAAATTGACACGCAATTAATAATAATAAATATGTTGGGACATTAACACACAGCACCATCTAGTTCCACGATGAGCTACGAGGCTTGTGTTATGGATACCAGATAGTTGATACACTACTCATGTATAACTTTAAATACATACATCTATACATATGTATAATACAATTCTAACTAAGCCGAATTTGTACATGAATTATTTTTTGGAAAATCTTATTGAACTAGACATTATTATCGATACAGAGGCCGAATCTATAGTTTTTAGAATTTTTGTCTGTCTGTCTGTCTGTCTGTCTGTCTGTTACCGCATCACGGAAAAACCACAGAAGAGATTTTCATGAAATTTGGTATGGTGATATCCGGGTCAACATATAGGATACTTTTTACCGTGGGAAAATATCTCATTTCTGAGCAAAAATACAGAAACTGCATTGTAAGAGTAGGATACCTACTAATATGTAAATCCTAAGAATTTGGTTTTTGGTAATCTGAACGCGGGCGGAGCTGCGGGCAATGCTAGTTTAAATAATAAAATAATTGGATGTCGTTTAAACATGAGCTTGAAAAAAACTATTGAAAGTTGTTTTTTTTAAAGAATGCTTACGATACGACTGCTGTTTTCGTCGTGGGTTAAAGTGTTTATAAGTAGTTTTATATGGTAATAGCTCACATTCTTAAGTTAACATTATTTCAAGCACATTCGCGACTGCGTGTACTCGTAATTGTAGTTTATAATAACTTGTACCATGTGCCAATTTTCAACAAAAATGTGATTTGATACGAATTTTTGTGCATACTCTTACTTTATTTAGCAAAGAGTATTTTTAAAGGGCACTATGTAAGAGGTTTTTACATTCATTATTAAAATATTGCACATAATCTTCCTTCAACTATTTTTGAAGTTTAATGATTGTTTAATTATTTTTATAAGATAATAAAAAGAGTAAACAAGTAAAATCTAGTAGTTACATCAGGGATAGCGAAAAGGTCCAGACACGAGTATCGATCTCGCGACCTTTTGATCGCTTGCCAACCCTCTTACCGTCAAGCTATGTGTGTTTATGCTCCAGAAGAGTGGTTTTGAAGATAGAAAATACCTTGTTGACCTAAAAATCTTGTGCAACACCGATTTCTACGTGCGGCAATATCATATTTACCTACTGCACTTTTCTTATGCATTTTAATGTTTTACTGTGACTAATGACTATATTATTGTAACCGTTTATAAAGTAGCAATAATCTAGTAACATTTTATATTATAAGAGCGATGTATGGCTTTAAAAAAAAAATGAGTACAAAAATTGTCAAGAGTATTGTATCAATGTGTAATGACATTCAAATATATTTTAATTACCTAATTTAAAAAAAAATCTTCTTAAATAGGTAACCTAAAATAAATATTTGTCAAGAAATAATAATCTGTAAAGTAATAAATAATAGTAATCCGTAACATCATAATATAAAGCCTATTCAAATACTAGATATTTGTAGCAATAGAAGGTGAGAGATTTAAGAGTTTAGAAATTTGGTACCTATTAATTTCTCCTTTAAGAATAGATGAAATAAAATAATAGACAATAAAAACCCAAAATTTATTCTCACATAAACACTTTACGAATTTCATCTGCTAGATTAAGAGCAACAAATTTTTTGGTGCTGTGAAGTAATTTACAAACATTGGGTTCATTTACAAATTTACACACGTAAATATCTTTATTGTCAGTGTCTTCTTCGAGGCGCTTTAATATTTCCTTTACTTGTTCTATATATGGTGTGACCTTTTCTTCTGGTACTAATTCGAAGTACCAAGGTAAGCAAATATTAAGCACATTGTAAATGGCCGATTGACTAACTGCGTAAGCCAAATTAGGATCTGGCTCTGGTTCTGCTATAACCTCTTCCTGTATTTCTTCTTTCTCTGGTGCCTTGCCTTCCACTACTTCAACATCCTCTTCACATGGCTTACAGATATATGTCATTTGCATATCAGTTATAGATGGTCCCGCTTTACTACGGCTTGTTAGGCTTTTCTGTACTTTGGGTAATTTTGCACTTTGTACATTTTCGATTTTCTTAGCTTTTGTACCAATTTTACTCTTTTTACCTTTCTTGTCCATTTCAGGTGGACGCTCAGTATATTCTAATTCGACAATAGTCGTGCCTTCACATATATTTACCACATTATTAATTAATTTATTTAAAAATTGCGCTGTGCATTTATTTGCACAAGCTAGACATTCATCCCTGTACATCTTTTCTCTAATTAACTTACAAACAATTTCTTGACACTCCTCTAGTGAATAGCATATCTTTTTCCCTATAGCAATCGATAAAGCCATTACAAAACCTTCGATCGGATTCGATCCCTTACAAAAAGCTAGCAAAAATGCAGAGTAATTCATTAAATTTTCTGCACTTTCAAATAATTCAAAAAGGAAATGTTTGGATAAATTATTTCTTAAATTAGCATTTCTACTTTCGGGATTTAAATCTTTTTCAAACCAAAGCGTCTGTTCCAAGAATTTGTTTCTGGAAATCAATTCAGTAGATTCAAAGTCTTCACAACGGAACTTCTTTCGTAGCAATAATAGTTCATCTATAGTAGGGAATGTAAAATTTAGACAATATATTAAAAAATCTCGCCAATCGATGTAAGCAGTGTCACCAAATAATAAAAATACTAATTTAGGTATTTGTTCAGGGTCTACATGTTTCCAAGCTTCAGGAAACATAGGGCCGTCACAAGACTCTCTGCCGAAAAATATAAAGTCTTGTATCAAATAAATAAATGCTTGCTGCAGAGCAATACCCGTCGGAGCTAAAATTTTAAATTGATCACGTAATCTAGCTAATTGGCTAATTTTAAATTCCATATCAGAGACAATTTCATGTGAAATGTCAACATATGGTTCTGGTTGCGGTTCCGAAAACTGTAAAACATTTGGATCTATGACGAATAAATCTTGTTCAAGTATAAGACTTTCTGGTATTTTCTTGCCGTTTTCAACAGCAATTTGTAAATATTTACAAAGGCGATCAACTGCCTTAATTTCATTTAAATAATAATGATTTATATCATTCTGGATATCGGTAAATGCTTTAAAAATATTATCATTAAATAGCTTCATATCTCTATAGCATTTGTATTGTAAAGCCAATAAGCGTAAGTTAGCTCTGAACATTTCCCCATTGATACCCATCGTCCATTCTTCTATGCACTTTAAAGCGTTGCTCTTAAATATTTCTTCAGAACTAATTGAGTCTTCTGAAGTGTTTTCTTCCTTTTTTTTAATTGGAGGAACTATTTTTGCTATTTCACTGTATTCTCTACTAATTAGGGATCGATAAGAATCATTTGTATCTTTTATAAATTTTAACGCAAATTTAACATTATTTTCAATAATCATGTTGAAAGGATTGTTACTGTAATCAATTTCAATATTTTTCATTTGCATATCTTGAAAGCAATTTTTTAGCTGTCTAAATAATTTATCTTCGCCCCCTTTCTTGCTCCCAGAAGTCTCATCTGTTTCTTTAAATATTTTTGTGAGTTCTTTAGATACTAATCTGTCGTTGGGGGGAGACCGCTTTATCATAGCGAAATAAAAATCATGCATAGTTTGGTATGTCAAAATTGATCTGAAAAAAATAAATAAATTTATAAACTCTAATAGCTAACTTGACAACAGTGAAGCTAATGACCACAACCTACCTATTTAATTCGGCTTGCATGCATGAAATATATGTATTGGCCAGCGTGGTTAATTCTTCCATTGTCCAATTTTCATATATAAGTGCCTGTCTTTGTTGTTCGGCAAAAAGCTTTCGCTCATCACATATTTTAAATAATCTGTTTTGCAATTCTTTTATTCTGCAATGCCATTCATTCTTAGTCAAATAAATGTCACGCCAATCATTTTCAAAATCATTATATTCCTTCTGAAAACTACTGACTAAATCTTGCTTGTGAGATGGAAGAGTAATTATTTGATCCATTTTATTTTTAAGAAATCTGGTATATGGTATGATACAATTCATCTGTAATCTTTTCGCAAAAAATAATTGTTGGATATCGTGTATATAAGTTTTTTCTATTTCTTCCCAACAAGTCGATATTGCTATTCCTATACCCTCAGGTATTTGTATATCACCATATATCCAGTCCTCTTCTCCAGCTAATAACTTAATCTCTTGTGAACTAACTGTTGTTGCTGACAACTTATTTTCATTTTCTTTTTCATTCAAATCCAACACTGATTCTTCATTAATATCATTGAAAGATTCAGGTGCCTTTACAATTTGTAACTCGTTAGTGAAAGATAACCGACTTAATTTCGCACTACGTCGTAATCTTTCTTTTGATTTTCCATTCGATATTTCTGGTTTCACAATTTTAGACTTAGTTCGTTTATCATCGGATGTAGGGAAATCGAGGCTGCTTAAAACGTTTTCACCGAATAGTTTATCAGTCGACTTAATATGCATTGCGTAATCTCCAATAATATATTTACATATAAGCGCCAGTTGCTCTTTTTCAATTATTTCGTAGTACATACTATAATTGATTCCCATTACGGCATAAAATCTATCAATAAGTTCAGAATTTTCTTCTGTTAAACTCCATATAACAAACTCTTGGAGAATATCATCGGTTTCTTTTAAATTTAAATAGCAAGTAAAATAACTACTAAATGGTTTAAAGTTCCTTTTTTTGTGTGGATCGTTAACTAGTTTCGATGTTCTTAGATTTTTATAGGGATCTTTTTCTTTCTTTCTGTGTTTAATAATACTTTCTTCAAGGTAAATTTCATCTTTATCTTCCAGCTCATTTTCATCAGGTGGTGCCCGCCCTAAAAAAGTTTCTTCTAAAATTTGTGCCTCGCGATAAGTATTAGGATAATTTATAATCACAAATCCATTAATATTTTCTTGATCTTTTATATATTCAACTATAATAGCAGAGACCAAGTGGTCGGTAAGAGAATCACCAAAGTTCAAACACTGATAAGCATACCGACCAAGGTCTGCAGGAATAGATAAAGTTATATCTTCCTCAGGAATTGTTTTTGGTGTTTGCGTTTGTTTAATATTAACAATCAATTGTCCTGATAACGCTATTACATTAGCATCACTACCCTTAACCAACATTTCATCTTCTGCTTTCATTAATTTTATTAATTCTTTTTCTTCTTCTTCTTGAGCTGCTCCTATAAATTTATCATACGACAATTCAATATCTGTACATCCAATCATTTCAGACTTAAACTTTCTGAGGCAAAAATTTATAGCTGATTCCAATCGTACGACGTGTATTTTTTGTACAGACAAAAGTGTTTGCATAGCTGATGTTATTAGTCTATCGGGAATACCACGTACGATAGCTTTTGATGAGAAATTAGGCAAATTGGCTGGAATTTTTTGTGGAGGATAAGGATATTTAATTTCAAGCAACGTATATACTACATGCCCTAGTATTCGGGCTCCTAAATATTCAAATTTTCTGTCTTCTGATTCTGGGTCGTAATTTGGTATTAGAAAATCCAATGTCCATGGATATGAATAATTATGATAATCAAAGAACTCGCTTTCATTCAAAGTTTCTTGTCTATCTAGTTCTAAATGTATTATTTCTTCTTGATCAAGTATCTCTTCTTCTTGAGAAATTTCTTTTAGAATATTTTCTATTGGGTCAAGAATATCAAATATTGGTTGCTGCTTATAATATAATAATTTCCATTCATGTATAAAATGGTCAGGGATGTCATCCTCTAGTAATTTTTTAAAATAAGCATATTTGGTGGTAAAATCAATAATAGAAAGCATTGTATCGTAACAAATCTCATAATAATGTTGTCTTTTTCTTTTCATTTTTTCAGCATACAGTTTTTTGTGTAGCATATTCTGTCTGTGCTTTTCAAAATCAATTTCACTAAGACCTAAATTAATTTCTTCCTTTACATTATTAAGGAATTGATTAAATTGTTCTGTTCTTTGATCATTAAACTCGTCTTGACTCGCAATTCTATTCCTGACTAAATTACGAGCTTGCTGTTTAGTTTCCATAATTTGTGTACACATTTGTTTTTCAAACTGCGATAACTTCATCACTTTTTTGGCTAGTTCTGTGTCTAATTTTGATTCTTCTTCAGCTACAGACAAATCCCATAATGATCCACTAATAACATTGGTCAATTGTTTTTGAAATTCCTCAGAATCAGCTTTGTTGTGTATTTTAACGTAAAGGTTATCCATATAACTTCTTGCCCAGTCTGAATCTATCAGTGATTTCTTTCTTTCTATCGCTTTTTCTTCTAATTCAACTAATTCTTCATACGTATAGTTACGAAATTCGCAAGGATACTTCAGTGAGAATTTTTCCATATCTTTTTTATCTTTGTTGGATATCTTTTTTAGATTAGGCACTTGGTGTTTTATAGGTATATTAGATTCTTCTATTTTTGCAATAACTTTTGAATATTTATGCCGCATGTAATCGTACATTTCTTTGACTTCTTTTTCTTTTTTTCTTTGCCATTCAATAAACATTTTTTGGTCTAATAGTGGCTTAGACAAATCATCGATGGATGGCTCTTGAACTTCATGTAGCTTTTCAACAACGAAACGATGCCCTATTTTTTCTATTAAGCTTGATGTAGCTTTTCTTTCTTGCTTAATAAAATTAGTACGGTCTCTCTTGTCTAAATGGAGAAAAAGTTGATAAAATAAGCGAAGCAACGTAGAACCCTTTCCACTCATGATACTATACATATCAATGTCAGTTATATTAATTTCAATATCACGAAGCCATTCTTTAAGGTATTTCCAATTTCTTTTAACATCTTCATCAACATTGCTCGGTCTCATAAGATAATATTTATCGTCACTAATTACGTGATAGCTTCGGAGAACAGAAGCAATTACATATCCATTTTTCATTTTTTCTCCAAATTCTTCAGCTTCCCATGATATTGGCCTTTGTAATCTTTGAGAAAGCCAATGTTTTAGCATTTCAGCCATTTCGATATATTATATTTATACTGAGATGTACAATAAAAAGATTCCTGTGAAAGTTTTTATAGTTTGGAAATCCGTCAATTAATTTTGCGAATTTTAAAATGTAACTTTAACTTCAATAAAGACACTTTTGTAGTTTTTACATTTTTGGACTATTTAAATGTGCCAGCATTATTTTTAAATTTTATTTATAGATGGTAATCGCTTTTTCATTTGCTTCACACATGGCAAGCCACGTTAAATGTCATCACTTATTATGACTTTTTTGTGATGTTTATTTTCGCACGGTTTTTGCATATTTCATAAATATTATTGAGATCAATTCATGATGAAATGCAATGAATTCGAAAAAAATGTTTGTAACTTCTTGACTTTTTAAATAACAAACTATAATATCCACATATTTCATGCTTTTATATTACGTTGTTTACAGAAACCTCGCCATCACATGAACCTGGACAATTTGGATATAGCATTACACGATTTGGGTATGTTGAGTGCAATAACCGAAGCGCGGCGTGAATTTTTAAGAGAATCTAAATCTAATTTGGGCGTGATGCGGCTGAACACGCGGTACGTGTCCAACGTCACTGTGGGGTATTGTATGAAAAGAAGCACAAACAAAAACAGACTTTGCCCGTACGTTTTACCCGTGAGACACAGAACAAAGAGTGAAAACTCAGACGCCATCGGCTGTGATGTAAACGATAGCAGCTGTGATTTCAAACATAATTTGCTGGACCATCAACCATCTACCAGTACCTGTATGAGAGAGAATATTGATATTAAAAGCCCTGCAAAGCGGTGCCAGTCACTGGAAAACTTAAACCTCACTGTGGAGTGTCCGCCAAAGGTTGAAATTTCTCCTGATATGGATTGTGTATCCACTAGAATCCAGAAGTTGCAAGTTGACGAATGACAATCAAATTAAACCTTCAACTCTGTGTAGTGCATTATTAAAGTGCATTGCGACTGGTAGCTAGTAGAGTTGAGTGATCAAAGGACTACAGATGTATTTTTTTTGTATGAACTTGTATGATAGTATGAAAGTTAGCAAATGATTATAAATGTTCCTAGATCCTAATTTAAATTAATTTTGCATGTTGTCATTCTAATAATGGTGAGTATCAATGGAAAATGGCAATTTTGCTCAACAGTTGTAGAAGACAAATTAATCTGTGTATTTCTAGGTGTAGTGGGTGCAAAATGTATGTAAATGTCTATAATAATTTCCTACTGGTATAGGATGATGCAGGCATATAAATATATTTATTTAATGATTGTGAGGCCCTCTGTGCCTGTAAATTATTTATTGATATGTTTGCACATTGTGTTTAAAGAAGATTTTGTTTTGTGTTAAGTATATGGACTTCGTAAATGAAGGCTATAGCTCCATATTTTTATGCACCTAAATAACACCACTGAAGTGAAGGTTTTATGGTTACCTATAATTTAATATAATCATGAACAAGCTTAATTTGTTCTAGCATAAGTCACATGCATTACTGGCTTCCAATTAGAGTGTCTGAGTTTATTTATATTTTATTTTGAGTAGTGTTAAAAATCGAGTGTGATTAGTTGAGATGGTTGTTATTAATAAGTGTTTAAGGGAAGATCTCATAACATCATTTATATTGATGAAAGTTATTAATGTTGTGTTGATTAAAACAAAACAATACACTTATTTACCACTTCAGCTTGCGACTTAGAAATAGTTTTAAATGCATATGTTTGTTAACATATTTTTGTTATTTTTTTTCTTATTTAACAACAAATATTTTAAATAAATATTGCCTTGAAATATGAATTTGCTTCTTTTTATCTATCCCCAATCTTTTGTACACATGAAAATGTTTTAATGGTTTATATTGAGAAAATAAATTGATTACTTTTTATAGCTAAAAAAAATCCTTATCCTGTTGTACTATATGCAGACTTTGCCCATTTTAATGTAATCTTTACAATCAATAGTAGATATTTAAAAGAAAATTGTTTGTATATTATTTTAAAAGGGACTACACTTTTTTTTTTAAATATGTATTTATCTCAGATTCAAAAAAATCAATATTACACAATTTACCATTGAAATGGAAGTTGACCTCAATGAACATACATATTAAAAACTAGTGACACTTGCTTTGCTCGGGTCTCAATCGTCCCTACATGATTCTTTAAATTGACATAACTTTTTTATTTATGAACCAATTGAAATAAAATAAATATTAAATGTTAAGTGAAGCTTACCACAACACATTAGTGAACACCACACCCAAATCGGTCAAGACGTTTCTAAGATTAGCGCGCACAAACAAACAGACAAAAAATCTAAAAATCATTGTTTTAGGTTCTATTGCGTTAATAAAAACCCACAATAATAAATTTTCTCAAATATCTTCCATGTATCGATTGTTATGATATATTCCATGACAGTGTTCAGTTTTAATTTTATTATATGTATAGAATAGGTACACAATTCAAAAATATGTTTTTTGTGTACCTTTGCCAATTGACCCTATATTATTTTAAAGAATATGTTTATTTCTAAAGAAAACATTAAAATTTCAAAGTATTTCTAATTTAACCTCTTTTGTTTTGGTATTTAAAAAACCAAATAAAGTAAAATCTTCTTGCATATTTTTTATTTATTTATTGAGGCTGTTAGACAATATGATTGTCACCTAGTATAGTATAATATCATCTGTGTTGTCACTTAACAATAAAATAAAACTATGTTATGTATAAAGGAAATTATTTATTCACAAGATTGAAAGTAACACTTATGGATATTTAACAAAAGATAAATAATATTTCATTTCTATTGCTTTACAGCGCTTTCACTTTAAGTTGCTTCATTTTCGGCGCTTTACGTTTTTGCTGACGTTTTTGTTCTTTGAGTTCCCAGCGGCGTTGTTTTTCGGGGTCGTCCTCCTATAATATAAGAATTATGAAATGAAATTCCTTATAATTTAAACTGAAAAAATATGTAAAATATTTAGCTTATATTGAAATATCAACTGCCATAAACTGTATCAAATTCAAATTGCAAATCTTATAAGAGAACTAGCTCTTATAAGTGTTTTTTTATATTTTACAGGCTAAAATGAATAGCTGATATGACTTATGAGGCTTTATTGGCGAACGGGTAAAATTGGTCCAGCTTAAAGAAAGTAAAGGAATTTTTATTAATTTTGTGCAGCTTTTGCCAAATTCTTATGGTGATATTAAAAGTGTTTGACTTTTAAAATAAATATTTTACAGAGCCGTAAAATAAATATAAAAATTGTACGTGTACGTTTTACATGTGTACGTTTTGTATAGAAAAAAAAAACCCGAAGGCCGACTACACACTGTCAAATTCTGTATCGTAAAAAAATGAAACTAAAGCCGCTTCAACACACACTGTCAATCTGAAAACTAACCGCAAGTATTTTCTCCTTCTCCTGCTTGCGCTTCTCCTCTCGCCTCTGCGCCGCCTGCTCCTGCCGCGCCGCGTGCGCGCCGCGCACCCACGCCTCGGCCGCTTTGGTGCGACGCTTCTCACATTTCGCTAATGCCTGTAAATTAATATTACATAATATAACCATTACGAAGGCAGTGGTAGCCCAGTGGTACCGCGCTCGCTTGGAAAACCGAGTGAAGCGGGTTCAAATCCTGGGTGTCGCACCTCTGATATTTTCATGTGCGAAAATTTCTAACATGATTACCACTTGTCTTTACGGTGAAGGAAAACAACATCGTGAGGAAACCTGCATGTCTGAGAGAACATAGCAAGTTTTCAAAAGACATGTGAAGTCCGCCAACCCGCTCTTGGCCAGCGCGTTGGACTATGGCCTGATCCCCCTCGTACTGAAGAGAGGCCAGTGCCCAGCAGTGGAACGTTAAAAAGGACTGAATACACATAAGCATTACAAGTAATACAGACATCACATAAGTTAGAGGAGCTTTGAGATAAAAATTAACTTAATTCAATTAGACTTATAAAAACACTTTTGAGTTCATTTAAAGAGTCACTATAGTCGGCGTGAAGAAGCTACCACCGGCTCGGAAGGCGGTTACGCTGAAATTATTTTTTTAATTAACATAAAAAGAGCAAAAAGAGCCTATGCCACTCCAGCCCGTGAAAGAAAGACAAACAGACAAATAAACAAACACACATTCACATTTATAATATTAATAAGGATTTCATCTAGGCCTTAAATTTGTTCTTTAGCTGAATTCAGCATCCACACTCCAAAAGTAACATACCTCTTTGCTCAATCTTAAACGTTTTATCTTATCCAATATGTAGAACACCAGTAGGAGCAGCGGGCGCACCTCCTCCCCGCCGCCGTCGGCGCCCAGCGCGAAGCTGACTAGCATCACTCTTTCCGTGTCCGGCGGCTTAGTTGCTACCGTTTCTCTAGAAATTGTATGATTCATGTTATATTTGACCTGTTTATAACTTGACGACACGTTTGGCTCAGTTTGTAGTGACCTTATTTGCTGTGCAAGCGGTCGCTGGTTCGAATTCCGCTGGAGGCATTATTTTTTATGATGAGTACGAATATGCATATATATCAAATTCGAAATTTATGTGTATATATATATGTATGTTTCTTGTTTCATCATCTTTAAACGGCCGGACTGATTTTAATGAAATTTATTACACAGATAGACCTGAAGTAACACATAGGTTATTATTAGGCACATAGGGACGGTAAGTCGTTAGTATTACATATAAAATCTAGGACTCGGAACCGGTTTAAAAATAATCGGTTAATATCGGTAATTGACCATTACGGTCAATTCATCGCTCATTCATTAATCGATAGATAAAAACAAACGTTTTAGTTAACCGAAATAATAATTATAGTTAACGGTTATTCTATGAGAAAGGTTAGGCCAATGCATCAACAGGAACTTAACTTACATATATCCTTCTACTAACCAATTCACCATTAGTTAATATTGGACAAATATAAACTCACAAAAACATTTTAACTGGTTAATTTTCGATTACATAACCGAAAATTGTCAAAAACCATTTCCGGATTTTAACTGGTTAAAGAACAAAACCGAAACCTTGAACTTTTCTATTCAACGCCCAAAACCGGTTTAAAAATCGAACGGGTACAGCTTAGCACACCTTAAGCCTTTCGATTCGGGGTCAATGACCTAAAACCGATGTAAAAATGGAACGTGTAACTCACTCTATCTGCTTGGGCCCCGCGTATCTGTCGGAGATGTGCAGGTAGTGCAGGGCGGCGTGGTGGCGCTGCAGCGCGGCGCACACGCGCGCGTCCAGCACGCCGGCCGTGGCCTCCGCGCACTCCGACAGCACGCCCAGCGCCGCCGGCAGCCCGTGCTTGTCGCCCGCGCGCCGCTCCGGGCAGAACATGCTCTGGGACACGCATATACACATACATTATATATCATGTTTTGACGACACGTTTGACCGCAGTTCGTAGTGACCCTACTTGCTGTGCCAACGGTCACGGCATTCATTTGTTGATGTTGATGAGCACGAATTTTTGTATTCCAGTCATGGGTGTTTATATTTTTAATATGTATGTATTGAAGGCTATATATTATGTGTGTATCAACTATCTGGTATCCATAACACAAGCCTCATAGCTTACTACGGAACTAAACTAACTAGATGGTGCTGTGTGTTAATGTCCCAACATATTCATATTTATAATGTTACATGTATAGACTTGTTATTACCGTCGTGTTAAATTAACAAAAAATAAAAAAACTCAGTATAATATGGTTTTAAAAAATACTCTTAGTGAAAAATAATGCGCTCGTACATCAAATTTACATAATTTTACTGATTATTGAAATATCAACAATCAGATGATTGGTTTGTAGGATATATTCACAGATAGCGCTTTTCCTTTAAATTAAATTATTATCACTATTAAAAAAAAACACTGAATTTTATTTAATAGAATGCAGAATGAATTTTGCAATATTTGCCATACGTTAGTTTGCACATATTTATAAAATATAACAGTTTGACTATTTGCGAATCAACATCTATTAATCTATTCAAGCAAACAAAAATAGCCCGAAATACCGGTGTCCAATTTCTCTGTACGGGATGAGGCATCTGTACTAAAGTAGTACTTATGTGATCTGTGATATTAATATGCATCTTATAATATTGAATGAGCATTTCTTTTATATACATTTATTTCGTGTAGCTCTAACAGTTTGGATCAAATTTATTGCTTAGATAAGGTTTTGCTTATTTTGTGTTTTGCTTTTTTTAAGTATGTATGTTTAAATAGATGTCTTTTCCGAAAAAAATTTATTACAATAAAGAAAAATATTGTTCATTAGTCTTTTTCTATCCGCTCTTATCTGGACAATGTCATATTGCGCCATTTCGTGGTTTTCGTGGTACTTTTATTGTTATCAAAGAATGATAACCTACTGCTATATAAATATATAAATAAGCTCGGCCACCCAGGTACTAGTATAATCCAATGGACTGCCACCCATCTTTACTTAATTTTCGTAATTTGACTACAGAATAGTGTAGTGATTTACATGTCTCTTAAAATAAAATCATTGTAACATATGGATGGACATGAAAACATCATAAAAGTTCTGATTGGTTTTTTGGCTCCAAAACCCTAAAAAAAGCTTCTATAGAGCAACTATTGATTGTGCTGACTAACTTTCTAATACAGTAAATCAAAACATCATAAGCAAAACTGTCTAAATTTTTAAACGTCCACAGTCCAATAATTGACATTTGGCCAGCATTTGGAAGGAGAGATCAAAGAATCCGCCAAAATTTACATTTCATATACTTAGACACCCCAACCCCTATTGGAAAAAACCCCACTCCTTCCAAACCCACGTACAAAAAAATAAACCAGCAACAATCTCACCAAGTCCTGCATCTCCTTAGCCAGTCGGGTGGCTATCTTCTTCTGCGCCACACACAGCACAAAGGGGTCACAATCGTCCTTGCCAAGTTCCACACGTATAAGCAACGTGTCCGGCGTCGGCCTCACCACGCCCAGCAACACATGCACTAGGTCTTGACGCTGTACCAAATATATTCCGTTATATAAGCGACTCGCTCTAGCTTCGCTCGGTTTCGTCCCTAGCTTGATTCCCCATACAAACTTTCATCCCCATTTTCAACCCCTTAAAAGATGATTTCCAGGATATAAAGTACCCTATCTTTCCCAGGCTCTCAAACAATCTTCTTGCCAAATTTCATCTAAATCGGCTCAGTAGATCCAGAGTTTACCCCCTACAACGTCACAAACTCAAATCTCACGAACTCACAACTTTTACCTCTTTATAATATTATGTATAGATTACAATTCAATAGGGAATATGCGTGATTTTTTTTTAAATTATTCAATAGCTAACATAGTTATATAATTGTAAAAACAATATCCAGCTCCAAAAACTGAAATTTAGTATAATATTTTCTTTGAAATATCATACCGATATGGATACTTTAAGCGCCCGCCATTTCGCGCGCTTGGCGTGACGTCACAGTATGATATACACAGAAAAACGACGACTCAATTTGCAGCGACAAAATCGCTAATCACTGTTATGATAATACTTTGACGTCATATTCGGTCTGACCAATATTTCAGTAGTCAGCTTATACCTAATTGCAGATTTTTAGTAAACATATTGACCTAATGTAAATTTTCAGAACTAATTATTTAATTATGCCAATATGAGTTAATAAAAAATAACTAATAAAAATGGTATACATATAAATAAATTGAGATTGGCAGTATGTCAGGTTGTGTTGTACATCAACCTCCTCCAACAATAGGCCTATCTATGCGGCATCTTGCCAATCTTCTCCATCCTTTTGGAAGATCAATTTTTCCTCCTTTTGTGAAAAACCACAATATCTTCAACCAAAAACGAACCAGTTACCTTAATTAATTTCAGAGTGAGCAGCATCCCCTCGCAGCACTGCCGGCCGCTGCACCACATGGTGAAGCAGTGCTCGGCCTCGCGCCGCCAGCCGCGCTCCTCAGACGCCACCACGTCCAGTCCCGTTTCACCTGAAGGTTTTAGTAATAGCCTCTTGATTAATTAACGTATGTATATCATTGAGACCAAAGCTCAGAAAACCGTTCAATTTTTAAACAGATTTTGGTCAAACCATATGGTTTTGACCTCAAACCGAAACGCTTTCGGTTTAGTTACCTCTGGTGTAAATATCAAGTTATCTATAGCTAAATATGTGATGGTGATACTTCATGGGATAACCCCATAAAAATAATGAATAATCCCATTCATACAGGTAGTTAACTTAATAAAGTTAGTTATTAAGTTTAGTAATCGGTTTTACTATATATCAAAATTCTCCAAACAAATAAACTCACCGACTAACGTAAAGTTCTCATCTAACAGAGGTTTGTGTAGTTTTAGGAAGTTGACAGCTATAGATGTGTTCTTTGCGCGACCAATGGCATATGCCAGTGCATACGCTGCGAGCAAACAGCAGAGGATACCTTCCAACCAGTACGCATCCCAGCGGGGCCTCACCGTTATGGGAACCTGGGAACAACACAATATTTATAGAAGACTAGCGATTCACCCTCGCTTCGCTCGGGGTACGTTTTATCGGTTACTATGGAATAGATAGTATATATATTATATAATATATATTATGTTCATAGGGTGTTATGAGTTGTTGTGGATTGTATTATAACGTGTTTTTCCGTGGGATTATCTATTATATATTGTGAGATAATCTCGCGCGTGTAAAAGTCTATGTCACTCTCCAGCCCTACAACTATTTCCATTCAAAAATTAACGCCAATCCGCCCTTCTGTTTCGACATGAAAGAAGGACAAACAAACAAAGAATAAATATGGATGGCACGCCTTGGGAAATATGTATCAAACTCAAATTTCTGTAGAATTATTGTAATTTATTTATAATTTAAGTTTAACTACAAAAAAGATTTAAAAAAATCGAATTTTGCGTAATTTTTAAGGCACCCTAAATATTTCAGAAATAAAACATACTCCATATGAAACTTTACAAACTCTTCTATCTTCCAGTGAAGTCTCATTACAATTCGTTAAGGCATTCCAAAGATTACCCCGGACAAACAGACAGATATGATATTAAATTAGAAATTTGATTTTTTTAAAGGGTCTGTTTTTAAAAATTGGTACAGGTATCATAATATATTATTTATATAGTTATTTTGAAATTACAGACATACACTTCTATTTTATTTATATGTACACATATATGGACTATTTTTAAGCAATACTTACAGTCAACAGATAGATTGACTAATAAACATTATTCAGTTAAAATTACATTTGAATGCATTTGAATTATTAAGCTTTATAATTGTAAAGATACCTTATGTCTATTTGACAGAGAGATATCAGTCTTAGAAATACAGCTATTATACCCATGTTTAAGTATAATAGCATCTTTGCGAATGAATTAAAACCTTGTCTCTTGACTTTGGCATTTAGATAAGATAGTCCCAAGATTACTACTACTAGAGCATTAAATAAACATATTTTTTTTTACAATTTGGCTAATTTACATTAGAATAAAAAAAAATACCTTTGATATAGTAATTTTAGGTTGCTCAGCAGTACGAGGTGTGGTTTCTTGGAAGCCCTCAAATTCTTCTGGATCTTGGAAATGTTCAAATTCATTGTCCTCATCCTGTAAATTATAATATATGTATATATTTTTAAATGTATTTTTAATTTTATAATGATAGTAGCTGGAGTCAATATATAGGCACTAATATAATAAGAAAGTGAAGGAAAACATCATGAGGAATCATCATCGTCTTAGAGAACCTAGCAAGTTTTTAAAAGACATGTGAAGTTACCAACCCACACTTGGCCAGGAAGGCCCGTGCCCAGCAGTGGGAAGTTAAAAACGACTGAATACAACATTATAAAGCTAGCACTTCTGCTTTAATTCTACAAATTCGTTCACTAATAAAAAGTTATATCGTCCCTAACATTTACCCCTTTTATTTATCTTATAGAAAGTAGGAGTTACATTATATGGTATTCCGATGAAATATGTATTAGTTTATACAAATATAATAAAAGTTGCATGTGATCTCGTAGAACTTAAGCAAAGTTAGGGAGAGTGATTGTTTATAAACAATCAAAATCCATAGGTCAAAAGCTATTAAAGGGTTGTTTTTTTAAAAATCTTGTGTAATGTTAAATAGAAACGGTATGTAAAGGAGAAATGGTATATAAAGGTTTATTTAACTTTAAATATTACTAATAATATAAACTTCCCTAACAAATGGGCTATAAAATGTAAAACACAAACTTCACATTTAACAAGTACATTTAGAGATTAACATATTTGACCAAGCTCAAGGTTTGAGCATTATATATTATTACCTCAGCAATGATGTCATCTTCTATTTCTACTGTAGCTTCGAACTGATCTTTATTTGAAGACAATTTCTGCTTTAACACTGGCACATCTTCTTCATTGAAGTCTAAAAAAATACATATTTTTATATTTTTAAGAAATTTCTAAATGACCTATACAGATAAATAAAATTGAAGTGTCTCTTTGTAATGTCAATATCAGTTTTTTACTAAATTTATAAGAAAGTATACACGGTACTTATAAGAAATAAACAATTATAAAGCTTTAATCTGTCTGTTTCAGATAATCTCTGAAACAGCTGGACTGATTTTGATGGGACTTTCACTGGCAGATAGCTGATGTTATAAGAAGTAACTTAGACTACTATTGTTGGAGAAAAAGGATTAGGGTTCTGAGCAAAAAAATTCAAACCCAACAACAATCATGAAAACAAAACCTGCATACCTAGGGATGAACGCAAGCGAAGTGAAGGTAAGTATAAAGTTTTAAAAAAATAGGTCAAAACTTTTCAAATAATATATTCGTATGAATCTTAATTGACCTCAAGTAAACTGAAAAAGTTAAAAAGTTAGTTTTTTTCTTAATAAAAATATAGTACATTTTTTTATTGGTTCTTTTTAGATATAAATGTTGAATGAAGTGCAATGATAAATTCTATTATTTATAGAAATAATTTGTACCTCCATCTGTGCCATCTTCTGCTTCGAATTGTTCAAATTCAGCAAAATCATCATCTTCAAGTGTAGTGTCCTCAAATGCTTGGGTCACATAAACACTGCATAGCAAAAATGCTATGGAAAATATTAATATACGCATACCTACCCTCTGAAATTAACACAGTTTTAAATTAAATTTAGTTTTTTGGTAATCAATTTTCTTACCCTTTCTAATTTTTGGCCCAAAATGTTAAATTATATTATAATAAATGAACATCAGTTTTAAAATAACGTAAATAGTAACTACTTATTATTCATATCATTATTTAAAAAACAATATAAATCACCAAGGTTATTTATATTTCTGCAATTAATCTGATATGATTTTCTTTACTGTGTGTGCTTTTATTTTCTTGATATCACTGAGGATGAGAGTGATTCGAGTTCATTAAACAATCTTAAGGGTCTCCGTAAAGGTTTTTAGACTGAAAAACTGCAAAGAACTATCAAGTGTTGTGATTAAGGAAAATTCGTGCCAAGGCCACTTTAGGAGCGATTTACAGTAAAATAAATACATGTTATGACTTATGTGGTTTCTTTTCATAATTTATTATCAAATTGGTAAGGTTTCACATAGGCTAATTCTTTAGCTGACCTATTTTTAGTGTTCTGATAGCTCATACATCTGTAAACCCACAAGTGTTCCTATACGCAATTTAGAACTATTTACGTGCTAGAAACTATTATTGAAGTATTTAACGTACATTTAAGTCTTTAATTAACTGAAATCCTTATTTAATTCAATTTCGTCGCATTGCGTGTTATGTTAAATAATATTGTATTTTCGATCACTCTTCACCACTCAATTTATTACCTGTTATATTCAGCACTACTTAGTTTAATTAAATCAGTTCATTTAATTCAAATAACTTATCTAATAGGATTTTTTATTTTCTACTCTAAATATCTATTTCATTACTTTGCACAAAATTTCATGAATAGTTTTTCTTTTACAGCAATGTACGACACAGACGTATATTATTGGCTAAATTGAATACTTGACACATTTTTGACCAATAACAAACAGATTTCAATGGCCACTAACTCAGGACAACGATATTGGTAATGTAGAACAAATTTAATACTTGACATTGACATTACTCTCTGTCGTCACATGACATTGTTAGATATTCAAGTGTTGCCAATTTTATAAGATAGCAAAAAATATGTTGACGGTAGATTTCTCAAGTTGTTTGTTGACTTTCTATACACTAAAAAGATTTAATTTTAAGTTATTGTTAAATCAATCTCGTAGTAGTATAAACAATGCAGTGCAGATGACTAGTATTGCAACATAACCATTACTACGCTTTAATGGGGAAGATTTCTGGAAAGGAGGGCGCTACACATATGGCACATTTAGTCTGAGATAAAGCAAGTTATTGCTATATCTCTTTTATACCTTGTTTTTTACTTCTATTGTGTTCGCATCTTACCTGTGTACCTGTGTACCTGTGTGTGTACCTATTGTACCTGAAAGTTAGACCAACTGAAGGAAAAACTGAGAAGGAGAGGTGCATCCTGCAATGGTTCTGACTGACTGATGGATCAACACACTGCTTAATCTGCTGGTCGTAGAAACGTGAAATTTAGAGGACGTATTCCGTATATGATGTAGGCATCCGATAATAATATAAGAAAGAGTTTGTCGAAATTCATTCTCGTGCGTAAAATAGTGGATTAATGATTGTATAAAACTTTGTCATTCTTAATCTGAAAGACACAGAATTTTCAAAATTCAAACCCATGGGGTAAAATGGGGGATAAAAGTTTGTATGAAACTCTGTAATTAATACGCAAAAAAAAACAAAAAAAAAAAAAAAATATTCACCCATAGATGATTTGAGAATATAAAGTCACTTTTTTTAAAATGATTTCTAAATAGCCTTAAAAATAAAGATTGTGATTTGGTCGTCTTATTGATATATCCCATATTTTTTAAGTTTTTGTCTTTTGGTAGCCATTTTTTTGCAGGCTGGCACAATTTGTAAATTTAATAAAATTTAAAAAAAAATGAAAAAATAACCATCCACGCTATAGAGCTTTACAATATACTCAGGGCTATAGCGATCACGACATCTGGCGGGAGAAAAAGTTAAAATTCTTCTCCATTCAGTGTATTTTCGAACCCTTATGTTTGCCCGAATATACGTTAGATAGCGCTAACCAAAAATAATTGCTGCTGTATTTGTACACTCGGGGCTAAAGCCCAGGGCCCAGAAAAAAAAAGTAGTACCTAGGTACGTTTTTCGAAAAATGGATAGCATTTATAAACATTTTATTGCATTTTTCAAATAATTAATAATTAAAAATAATCAAACTTTCAACATTTTATTAAAAATTTCGATAGTAGGGCGGCATTTTTTACTATGCCCAGGAGCGGCGCAAAGGTTAAATCCGGCACTGCCTACATACATATATTTCATATTTGCAAAGCTTTTTGCTGACATAAATGAATTTAACGGTATTTTTAAATCGTCATAAATAAAATACTCACCTAATCATTGTATAAGTAATTCATATATCTAGATTTATAGCTGAATAAATAAGATCGTCTGTCTATAATTTCAAAATAGTTAACTCAATTTGAGTTCATACCGTTATCTGATCGCTACCAAGGTTTATTAACTAAATTCTTTTTTACAACTTTAAAATTTTGCCTTTCTGCAACGTTTATTAAGTTTTTTGATTTTAATAAAAGAGGTATTATTTGTGATAAAATATCATGCTTCCTAAATTTTTTGCAAAGGAGGAAAGGATTTCCACAAGATAGCAGACAAAAGTTTTAAAATTATTGGCACAATCATGGTGGCGGCCAAAGTGATAGGGGCCAATAAATACAAAAAAAGTTGTCGTGGTGGGGGGCTCAGTAGTGCCCGGCTATTCAACCGGGCGCGAAGCCAAGAAACGCACAGAGAGGTGGCCGACTTCGGTGGGCGGTGGGAGGTGGCCCTCTTCGGAGGGCGGTGGTACCATGCGGGTTGCTCCTGGTACTTCTCTGATAGCAGAGTGGACCTTGGAGTAACCCCATGGTTGTTGCGGTCTGCTTCGGCAGACCTGTCGTCAGGGCGTCGTAGTTGAATGCCTAAGCGATCCTGCGACGCCCCATTAAGACGGGGGAAGGTTTTGTTGGGTTTTAGTGGGTAGTACTGGCTTTGCCGGTGAGTCCCACACCTCGTGCGTAAATGCATTTCCCAACATTAAAAAAAAGGGGCCCAATAATTTAAGTTATATTAAAAAAAGCAAAGGTGAATCCTTAGGTTGATGTCCTCATAATCACAAACTTGTTTCTCATTAGTAGAGTTATAATAATAAAACACCGTAATATTCAAACGAAGTAATAAACAATATAAACGTTATTTTGTTTTGGGTTGCAATAAATTTTTAATAATTATTGACTGTAAATCAATAAGTAAATTATAATGAATATAAATTAAAAACACATTTAAAAGTTTTATATTTAATTACCTTTTTTTCTTTTTAATAGTTTAATTTTGATAATGACATACATATTTTATCTCTTTTCAACCGACTTCAAAAAAGAGGAGGTTCTCAATTCGACTTTATTTTTTTTTATGTTTGTTACCTCAGAACTCCGTCATTTATTAACCGATTTGGACAATGTTTGTGTTGTTTGAAAGGGTATACTTCCAGATTGGTCCCATTTAAATTACAAAAAAAAAATACCACCCCTAAGGGTGGAAAAATAGCTAATGATGAATTTAACCTACTTCTAATTGTCATATTTACTTGAAACTTTGCAAGTGTTTCTACTTCCGTTGATAGTACAGTGGTTCGGTATTGTTAACCTGATCTGATGGTAAGGCCAGAAGGTGGATAGGTGGAGCGCTTATTTTGTTTGATTTGACAAGCCTAACACTTTAGAATTCTTACTTTGCTACTACTGTCTACACTAAAAAGGGAAAAATAAAAACTTTTTAACAAAAAAATAAAAACCGACTTCAAACAAAAGCACTAAAAAGTAACAAATAACTGATTGGTAGTTTTCATTTACTATACATACCTGATCAAATATTTTCGAAGTCGGTGTGCTTTGGCTAAGTAATTAAAGCCTACCTATTAAATACATACCTAATCAAATATTTTCGAAATCGGTGCCAGCCTATACAAAGCAAAAAACCTAAGTGGACGAAAAATTGCTCTTGGAGTCTCGTGTAACAAATTTACGTTAATCTATACATATAATAAAATTGTAACTAAGCCGAATTTGTACATTAAATATTTTTTGGAAAATCTAATTGAAATAGACATTATTATCGATACAGAGTCCGAATCTATAGTTTTTAGAATTTTTGTCTGTCTGTCTGTCTGTCTGTCTGTCTGTTACCGCATCACGAGAAAACCACTTGACAGATTTTGATGAAATTTGGTATGATGGTAGCTGGTTATCTGGGTCAACATATATGATACTTCTTACCGCGGGAATATATCTCATTTCTGAGAAAAATACAAAAACTGCATTTTAAGAGTATACTAATATGTAAAACCTAAGAATTTGATTTTTGGTCATCTGAACGCGGGCGGAGCCGCGGGCAATGCTAGTGCTAAATAATAACTAAATAGTGAGTCAGGCTGCGTTTAATATGAACGGTACTCGCTCTACTTATGTGCATTTGTTTTTAAATGTCACTTCCTATACCTTGGTATATTTGCGTCAACACATAATTCGAAAATCCTGCATAAGCTTACGTGATGAATTTGAATAGAATAATTATTTTAAATATTGAATTTTATAAACTTAATTCCTTCATAATACTTTTAGCGCCTATCCTTTTTTGATGTGAATCTTCTTTAGAATCATTGTGATTTGAAACTCGATGAAACGGAAATGAAACGAAAATGCGACACTAAAATAGTAGGTACCGGGCGGCGAGAGAATGAAATAGAATACATTGCCATGTTAACATGGTAACCGTTGTTATTGTCTGATAAATATATATTAACTAGAATTGCCGCGGCTCCGCCCGCGTTCAGGTGACCAAAAACCAAATTAAGTTTTACATAGTATACTCTTAAATTGCAGTTTTTGTATTTTTTCTCAAAAATGAGATATTTTCAACCGACTTCAAAAAGGAGGAG